CTTTTCCTCTTCTCCACCACCTCTCTTCTCCCCCTCCTCCTTCTCCTACCAGTTCTCCCCTCCTCCTTCTCCAACAGCCTTCTCCCTTCCTTCCTTCCTCCCTTCTCCACAGCTTCTCCATTCCTTCTCCACCACCTCTCTTCTCCCCCTCCTCCTTCTCCACCAGCTTCTCCCCCTCCTCCTTCTCCAACACCTTCTCCCTTCTCCCCTCCTCCTTCTCACAGCTCTCCCTTCCTCCTTCTCCACCACTTCTTCCTTCTCCCCTTCCTCCTTTCCACCAGCTTCTCCCTTCCTCCTTCTCCCCACCTTCTCCCCTTCCTCCTTCTCCACCAGCATCTCCCCTCCTCCTTCTCCACCAGTTCTCCCTTCTCCCCTTCCTCATTCCTAGCACATATTGAGTCGGCCATACGGCCGCCGTGCGTATAGCCATATTGAATCTTATCCACACGGCCGCCGTGCGTATACTGTATAGTCTCGGCCAGTGGTGTAGTGTCAGACAGTGTCAGTGGTACAGTGCACAGGCACTTCATTGACGTCTCCCAAACAATAATGTAATTAAACACTAAATGTATCTACTATCAAAGTATTAATGTTTCTCTACTCTATTTCGCCTATTTATTGTCGATAACTTGCTGTAAATGCCGTTTAAATGCTCATCTGCAACACACAAGTAGTGAAGTACACCGTACGTATGCCTGTGCACAAACAACACTGCCACTGGTACTACATGTATCAACAAAAGATTGCACAACTCTTTCACGATGGATTTTCGACAAAAAGAATGTTTTCTCACCTTTCCGTATTCTTGGGGAACCTGAAGAAAGACAGGTCGGGCTTACACTGACGATTCGAGCAATTTACAGCAGAACAGTAAGCTGAGCTGACAGCACACAGCAACAGTTTCACAGTAGCAGATACAGCAACATCCGGGAACTTCGTGTGAACTTGCTTCCCAAAATGGCGGTGTGGCGACCCATGACCTACTACGCTATGATTGGAGAGTGGTCTATCTTGTGCCTACGGCACTCTAGAATCTTTGCCTGTACACGTAACACGGTACACCGACTCGGCTATCTTATATATACAAGAACCCCAAATACCGTCTATGGTGTGGTGCGCATTTTACGCATTAACTAGTCGTACGGTAAAAATACACGCCCCCGGACCCCCCTAGTTTCCCCCTCCCCCTCCCCCTAGTTTTCCTCCTCCCCCTCCCCTCCCCCTCCCCCTCCCCTACCCCTTGTTTGAATTTCATCCTGGGGAGAACCCTGGATACATTACTGAGAGTGAGATGATTTTCACTGCCAAGAGCTGACATTACAAAAGCAAGAGAATTGCACACACTGTCGGAGCCTCGCATCACATTTTCACACTTTAGAATTCAGTGTTCAATTTTCCCTACTTGCGACAAGGTCAGCCCATGAGCTCATCTGCCAAGAACACTTGTGACCATTATTACATATTGAGTTTATATTAGATATGACCATGTCACTATGGTCATAGATATATGTAAATATTCTTATTGATAGAATGTCACATACCTGTAAGATATGTTAACCGTAACCATAAGGTTTTTCCCCTCCATAAGTGTCTCGTTTTGTAAGTCTGGTTATTTAATGTTCAATGAGATTATTATTTCAAGGAGATTGTATATTGATCTGTTATACTCTTAAACCCAAATAAGGCTGGCACATATTTTATAGTGCATTTTTTACCAGATTGGATTACTACATGGAAAGTGAAATTATCTTATAAGACCACTATTAACTTATTTGTCTCATAGAAAATTCAGCGTTTAGGTTGGAGTGCTGATTAGTTTGTTGGTGTCATTTTTTGTGCTTAGAATCGGGGCACATTCTCTACCTTCTAGAGAAGTATCAAGTGCTTGTCCTCGTTGCGGGAGACAGGATGTGGGAAAAGCACACAAGTACCGAGCAGTAGCGTGCTTTTGAAATTATTCTTTGTTAGGGTAACATAGTATATACTACATTTAGTATTAAGTAAACTACTACCTTACATACTAAATGTTCATAGTCTATGTGTTCGACACTAGTGATGGGAATCAGTTGGAATTTCATCATCGATCATCGGTTGCCCCAACCTAGTATTGTAGAAACGCATGATTGTCCGTGCCAGCGTCCGTCCGTCATCAACAGTTGGGCACAAATCTTAACCGCTCGACGTACGGTCCGATATTCGGAACGTCGGGGTAATTCGAAAACAAGTTGGATGTCGAAGCTGGGGGGTCAAAGGTCAAGAGGTGTAAAAGAAGGGGAACATTCCCTCCTTAACTTAAGGTATAGGGCAGTAAATGCAGAATTCCGGCACAAATCTAAATGGCTCGACCTAGGCTCGTGATAGTCGGTGTATAGCATCATGGTAGGAAAAGCCATCACTGTGCCGAAATTGGAGGTCAATGGGGCCACAGGGCAGATTTTAGACATTTCTGAGGACATGGTCTGACGCGAGCGATTGAAAAACTTTTTTGTTTCAGCGCGTGACCTACCATTTTTATGGCTTTATTGAAAGGACCATGAAATGTACTTTTCGCTGACATGCGAAGAGTAAGTGTCGGATAACCTTTTGACCCTCAAGAGGAGGGTTAAACATGGATTTGTTGACTGTTAACAAAGGACTGAACTGATTTTGCTATTAGAGCCCCCTCCACCCGCCCCTAGCCCCACCCTCCCCCTCCCCCTGATTAAAGTTCACAGCTGTATCTTTATTACTGTACTGCCGTAGGTATAGCAAAGCCTATCATAGATTTTAGATCTGTATTAGTAGTATCCTAGATATATGCTCTGAGCGCGAACGCGCAGGTGGCAGGAGGTGCACTTGATTCGGTTGCAGTGAGTTTATCAGAAGAATACCTGGCTACAGTACACGACAGTTGAGCGCTGTCGCTCTGGCGGCACTTGTTTATAAAACGTGCACGAAATTAGCGCTATTTTGCATGCAGCCGCGGTTTCAACCCCCTAAACCGCCGGTTCAACCCCCCATATAATTAGTCGCCTATTCAAAATTTTGCCTATCTTGGCTTTATATAAACAATATTTACCAATTTCCTGGCTAGTTTTTACTTAGTCACTACTAAGAAGTAAATCTGATCATGTTCCAGCAATTCCTGTCTAACAAGTAGAACTCTTCTGATAGCAACAGGAGTAGAAATTAACTTTTGAACACGGTAGTCCAACGGACTCCCTACCCTCAAAAGAGGAGTCTGCGCAGCAAAATGAGGGAGTCTGCAGTCTGAGGTTCAAAATGAAAGATATTAACAATAACGCATGTGCTTATTTTTAAGATTCATGCGGTTGCACGTCTGCCAAATTTTCTCTGGACATTAGCTGAAAAAATACAGTAATTCCGTGAGGCTGTGCTCCGGAACGAACTAGTTAGTGTGGCAGAATTTTCAGGGAGTTACACGGACTCCTGCATATGTCAAATCAGGGAGTCCGACAGTAAATCAGGAAGTATTTGACTTCGGACTCCCGTTAATTTCGCACCCTGTAGCAATGAGAATACTGAAATATTAATGAGTATGCCTAATAAACACAAACCTAATACTTAGGTAATGTAATAAATTGAACAAAAATTAAGGGTCTTTTCAAACTTGTAAGGCGCCTGTTTAAAATTTTGGGTGGGCCTGTTCACATTTTGGCAATTTCATGCCCTGTAATACAATATTTAAAAGCTATGTAACAGTATTATACTTGCTTATGTTTGGTGTAGGTTAGATTTAAGCTGTAAAGTAACCAAAAACACCAAAATAAAATGAAGAGTCATTTCATATTGTTTGCACATTTAAAAAAAAAAAAAAATCATCGATTATTTATTTTCATAATCAAGCGCTTTGTCGGTTGCTGCAAACAACTGACTTTCGATTATAATCGATCATCAGGACATCACTACTATACATCTCAATTAATGTACATTTTATATAATATATGTATAATATATATAATATACATGTATATATAATAATAAATAATTTCAATAAAAAGAAAATATCAAAAATCTGATAAACGAAAGTTAATTACTCTTCAAACGATATGTAAATATTGTGATTACCGCATACTGTTATTTTGATCAGTGTATATGTGATGTTTACACCTCATACAGTATCTAATGGAGGCAGGCTGGGTGCCGATGGTGTCATTGGAGTAACCCTGCTCGGAGGGTAGCAGCAATAACAGTGAGTTTGCCTTTATTTTTATGATAAGCGTGATACATTGTAAATTATTGAAAAGGTGTTATTAAAAATAAGATATAGGCAATATGATAGTCATTACAAATTGGGAAACTGTCCTCATTTTTTTACAATACATATTAACCCCCATATTCCAGCTTGTTTTGTAGTCTTCTCTAGCTTATCAAAACAATTGGCATAGAATTGTTTTGTTTTTTTGTCATGTAACTGCCCATCTCAAGCTGATTAATTATGTTATTATGTTAGGTTGCAACCAGAGTAGCTGAAGAGAAAGGGTCTGTACTAGGCTGTGATGTGGGCTACTGTGTCAGGTTTAACAATGCAACAGATCCCACACTGACCAAGATCAAGGTAACATTTTCTTAGTGTTGTGATATCATGCCAGCAACATTATTTAGCTCTATTCATGATGAAGTTGGTTGTTTGAAGGTATAAAATTAAAGTATGATATTCATTGGCCTGAAATGTATACAGCTTCTCCTTTATTTGGAAATTGTGCTTACAAAAGCTCAACTCAACTGCTGCCTATGTTCGCTGTGTAATGTAGAGCTGGCATTCAGTGGTCTATTCTATAATAAATTTGTGAATTAATCTTTTCTCATATCCTTTTTACATTGGTTGCAGTTCCTTACTGATGGAATGCCTAATCAGAGAGCTGATGAGAGACCCACTTTTACTTAAATACAGGTATGGTTTTGAAACATTTTTGTGAGTACTTGATGAATCCTGCTGCTATCTTATATATCAAATTTACATATCATTTTCCCTAGATCTTTTAGAAATATTTTATACTGTAGGAATACTACGAAATTGTATTCTCTTCTTGCTTTAAAGGCATACTAGGCCCATTGATTATGCAATGTTGACGAATGATAGAGTAACTGGCACCTTGTGTAGTTAATAAGTACATAACCTTACATCCAACGCGTATTAGTTTGTCCAATATCACTGCTGGTTGCTAAGAAATGTCTAATGAAATCCGCAGTCCAAGAAATCAATTGTTTACAGTTTCAAACTGCTGCCGGGAAGCGCGGTGTGATACAGATTTATAGTGCACCGGACATTTTCGCACGCATGCTATCATCAGTGATTTTGTAAACACGGACGCTCGTGATAAGAAACTTTTTGTCAGGGCTGTCTACGTGCGTGCATGATTAGTACGTGTGTTTTACTCCATTTCCATGTTTAGTCCGTGGCCGTGGCTACACCGCTGACACCTCCATTTCATCTGGCGTCCAAAACATACGGGCCGCCACAAATGTTTACGTCATCGCTTGACTCCTGGATGACATTTACGGCACATAAATGAATATCAACAACCGATTTCAAGTCTTGCTGTAAATTTATGTAACCAGCAGTGATATTGGACAAACTAATACGCATTTGGCTATAAGGTTATGCACTTATTAACTACACAAGTGCCAGTTACTCTAGCATTCGTCAACATTGCATAATCAATGGGCCTAGTATTCCTTTAAAGTGCAAATATAAATGACTGCTACCAAGAGCGTATTAAGAAGGAGAGCGTACAACTGTGAAATGCTGAAACCATGTTGCAGTATTAGTCGAATTAATAAAAGTCGAACTCAGTATTATTGATCAGCTGTCCTACCTTGTTAATATAAACAAACCGCATGTCCTACGATGCCCCTACGCTCAGATAATGAGCGGTGAAAATTGCCTAAAACCGACTCGAGATCACTGTTTACTGCGACTGTCTCTCGCTTTGAGATAACTTCGGGAAACCTCGGTGTTTCCGTCAATGATTGACAAATGGAATGAATGACGTCTGTTATGATTGCCATAGTGATGACCCCACCTGTGCCCACCTCACGCTGGATGTATAGTAAACTCTGTAGTACTGACGTGAGTCAGCGCTACATGGCGCTACACAGCGGCGACTGAAGCAACACACTGGCCACAAAGCGAGAGAGGGTCGCAGTAAACAGTGATCTCGAGTCGATTTTCACTGCTCATTATCTCAGCGTAGAGACATCGTACCCCACACAAAAAACCGCAAAGAATCGTCAAAATAAAACGGGCAAAGTTTCTTAATTCGACTAATACTGCAACATGGTTTCAGCAGTTCACCGTTGTACGCTCTCGGTGCTACCTATCTATAACATCCTGATAATATCATATTAACTCTATGTTATAGGTAATATAAGGAGTGCATAACATAGAATTCTATATTATATACTTCTTTCAATATTATCAGTCCAATTATATTCAATAAATTTGAGTATCTTTTATGTTGATTGATCAAAATGAGTGATGCTCAAATTGATCCAAATGACCATATGTTGAGGGACATATCTTTTGTAATCACATATTGCATACAATGAATTTTCTGTATTTTTACTTGTATCTGAAGATGGTGCATTTAATCAAAAGCAGAATTATTGCTCTACAGGCCCCAATCTACAGTTATCGTATAAGAATGTTGTTATGAGTTTTTCATGTTCTTGCAGTGTTGTGATGGTAGATGAAGCTCATGAGAGGAGCATTCATACAGACATCATAGTCGGCTTACTTAAGAAAATTCTAAAAAGGAGAGCAGATCTTAGAGTCATTGTGTCATCAGCAACACTGGATGCCGAGGTATAATTAGCTGTTACACCTTATTACAGAACTGCTTCTGGGTATTTCAAAAGTTAAAGTAAGGTCCGTGTTACAGAAGTTATTGTTTACCCAGTAAATATGGACTGAGTGTCATACACTTTTCTAATTTAATGTTTTTAAACTTTATAAAAAAGAGTGCACCTGCTTTGTTTAAAACATGATAATAAAATTTCCACTCACTTGCAAGAAACTGGAATTGTACTATTTCATTAACACCTTGGTAATTACCAGGTATAACTTATAACATTGGTGGAAATGTTCCACCTATTTTTTGTTTGTTTAAAAAGCTAAACCACTCAGACTGCATTCACCTCCTCCAACTCTCCCAAAAAGGGAGAGGAGGAACGGTCATCAAAGGTAAAAGGCAAGTCTCGGGGCTGAGACACCTTATACCGGCTTCACGCTAAGAGGCGAATGCTTTGTCTCCTCATCATGGTTTAGCTAATTGGTCACTTTTGTGTGAACCTTTCGCAACACATACTTTAGAAATGATCCTTAAAAGTATGGTCTTAGTATGTTTTCGGCACGTCAGCAGTATTGTATGTAGGGAGGGATATTTTTGCTTGTGGTGTGAGGAATGTAACTGTGCGTAGCCCACGTAACTAAAATAGTAGTGTACTTTATGCATACATAATAACCATGTTTTTAATAAAAAAAACAATATATATTGATAACGTTGCAAGTCACCAAATTCACATACAAATAATGTAAATTTCATTCATAAAATACTGTTTTTACTTAATATATGTGACCTACCTGACCTAATGTAACTACTGTGAATGGTGCTACCACCTGTTGGGAAATATTACCAGCAAATGATTATACCTCATGACTATAAGGTATAACTCTGTATAACTCTATATGGTATGACTCAGGAACGTTTTTGAGATGAACAATTCCAACACCTTATCATAACTCTAATTGTAACCTGTATCTTAAAATAATGGTTATTATTATTGTTAAAGATCCTTAGCATATTGTGATTACAACTATATCAATGGTGCTACCACCTGTTGGCAAATATCACCAGCAAATATATACATATATACCAGGAGTAGATAATAGGGTATTTTCCCTATTATCTACTCCTGATATATACATACATGCTAATAGAAATATGGACAGCGTACCATCGTCGTATTGTTACAGTAATATAAGTATTCATTGTAGTATATGATTTCTGTTTATGTAGGCTGTCAGGGATTTTTTCAACCAAGACGATTCCAAGGGAAAAAGTGAAGAAATTGCAACTATTATAACCATTGAGGGCAGAGCATTTCCAGTAGATGTATTTTATATTAGCAGGTGATTATATAATTACTGAGCTGGTGAAAAACAATATGTCTTATTATCATATGTGTGTGTACGAGCATATATATCCCCGATCTTCTTGCAATATATCAGGAGTTAATGAGACAAATGAGAGGAGTTTGTCTCATTAACTCCTGAATATATCTATGTGAGTATTCCTTATCAAGTTATAAAAAAGTATTTTCAAACATCAACAAGTTATCTGTTGCCTTTTACGTCATTTTTTCACCTGCACAATCAAATGATAAATGGACCTTCATATCTGGTTATGCAACACTTGCAACAATGTTAGTTTACACAGAGGGAGTAGTTTAAGTATTGGCAATAGGCATCAACTGATAAGCTGTTATCCTGCTTATAGCCCTGTACCCGATTATGTGAAGGCAACAATGGAAACAATACTAAAGATCCACAAACATGAAAAGCCTGGAGACATCCTAGCCTTTCTCACCGGGCAGGAAGAAGTTGAACATGTGTGTGCCTTGGTCAGGTAAGAGGATTAACATAGCAAAAATGAATCTTAAAATGTGAAAAAAAAATTGTAACACTGTCACCCACCATGTTACAATAAAAACACTAACACTTAATCCAAATCCAAATTACAATTTTTACATACAACTTACAAATACGATACTATATAAGTTTGGTCCAATTACGGTCTATATTATATGTAAAAAGGTTTAAAATAAATGCCATTTCAGAGTAAAAAAGCAAGTTGCATCAGTGGGTCGTTTAAGAATTCTACTTTATGGTTGTAATTAAGTTGTTACAAAGACAGTGCTCCTGTTTCCCTATAGAGAAGCAGCTGAGAGCATGCAAAGGGTGACCATGCAACTACTCGTACTGCCAATGTATGCGAGCCTCACGGCAAAAGAACAGCTAAAGGTGTTTCAGCGGACACCGGAAAAGACGCGCAAGGTCGTCATTGCAACAAACATAGCTGAAGCTTCAATCACCATCAATGGAATCACCTATGGTGTGTAGAAATATATTATATGATAATATATATTAGTATTACCGTGAACACGAGTATAGCATTTTATATTCTATACGTGTGTTCGTGATATTATGCATTGATTTCCATCTAAGATGCTTCTTTGGTTTATTTAATTCTATAAACTATGTATACTGAATGTACACAAGTTCATGTTAAAACACTAGGTCAGTGCAACGAAATGCAACTATGTAGTCTAGTTATCTATTTCATGTCTAACGCATTACGTGTTGACGTTTTTAGTGATCATGGTGATGCTCTGTTGTTTCAGTGATAGACTGTGGTTTCGTGAAGTTGCGAGCGTTTAACCCCGACACTGGTAGCGACTGCCTGGTGGTGGTGCCAGTCTCACAGGCATCAGCTGAGCAGCGCAGTGGCAGGGCAGGCAGGGTCCGGTCAGGCAAGTCTTACCGGCTCTATCCAGGTGTGTTACACTTATCTTCTGTCGCATTATCGCAGCCTACTCTTCCATGTTTCGTGACTCGCACTCAGTAAGGCAAACAGAACAGGGGGTGTGTACGTCTATTCAGACATACAGGTTTATTAAGTTGCAAACTATAATCTCAGCAGAAATAGCGACTCCTCGTCTTATCCGTGTCTTGACTAATTACGCCATCTGTTGGTAAGCACATAAACTAAATAAACATACCGTGGCCTAGTCGGGCCATTCACGTAACACTCCATGCAATGTAAAATACAGTGATTGTTTAACTGTTTTTACGTTGTTGTTTTTGGGATTACACACTTTTATTGTGTTGCATTGTTGTTGCTATTTGTAACCTTTCGCGTTCGCGACTATGTTGTACGAGAAGTCTTTGCCTCTGTCGTTTAGAGGAGGAGCACGCGAAGCTTCCTGCGGCGACAGTGCCGGAGATGCAGCGCAGCGACCTCTCCACCGTCCTCCTCCTGTTGAAGGCTCTCGGAGTCTCCAATGTACTGCGCTTCAACTTCCTCTCGGTACGTCGTCGCGAGCGTCGTCAACGCTGACGCGCGCACGCCGGCAGGTCAGCGCGAGGGGAAATAGAATTCGGGACACGCGTTAACTTTACCCGATGCCTTTTTCTGATGCTCACTGTTCTTTGATTGTATTTCGTCGCTAACCTTATAGCCTTATATGGCATCAAATGATAAACTAGTTGAACTTGCATGGGATAGTTTGTAGATATGTGCACCATTCAAATCTCTGCTTTACGTGTGCCTTCTTTATTAATTGTTCTATGATGGCACTTTATATTATGTATTTATATATATTTTATTATTTCATTTATTTCATTTATTTTCGTCGACCAAGGTGGCCATGATGCTTCCTTGAGTCAGGAACATTTTGTTCTTTACAAGGCTATACTAGTCCGGGTTCGCCGTCCTCCCGGGCGGGTATTTTTATCGTGACACCATCACTGCATTATATATATAATACTTTTGTCATATACTTTTGTGGTATATAGATACAGTGAATCCTGTGTTGGTTCTATAGAAACAATATAGTAGTTAGACTTGTGTCTCTATATATTTCTATAGTTAGTTCTGACCTCTATTCACCAGGCAACTGTCTATAAAGTACGTTTCCAGCATTTCCCTTGAGTGCCGTTATATAAGATTTGACAGTAATACTGAGTATGTACCAAGCAGAACATGACAAGAGTGATTGGTGTTAATTATTTCCATCTGAAAGTTGTTGGGGATCTTACACGTGATGCGTTATCGACGTGGCATATGATGTGCGGTTGCGCCACGATTCGTCCATAATTTCGAGCGAGTTCTTCTTACGTGTCGTTTTACAGAAGCCACCAGCACAGAACATGTCTAGAGCGTTGGATCTCCTGTATGCACTCGGGGCCATAGACGTGGATGGCAAGCTCACAGAACAACTCGGCCAGCAGATGGCTGAGTTCCCTTTGGAGCCAATGTTTGCCAAAATGTTACTGGAGTCTGGTGAGTAACAGTTGTTCGTTCGTTGTGACAGCAAGAGTGAGGCAGCAAATTCGCGTTAATAGCTGTTGCAATCGTACAAAGATTTACGATTGGTGATTTGTGTTTTACGATTGTACATTTGGTCAAATGCACAGGGTGCAGTGTGCACCATACAGAGGAAAACGGGCATTTCAGCTTATCAAACAGGTGAAGAATTACTTAGTAGGTTTGGTGTATATGCCATGCCATATGTCAGAGGTTTTTTTCACTTGCAGGGAAATTCGAATGCTCAGAGGAAATTCTCAGCATAGCAGCCATGCTGAACATTGAATGCGTGTTCACTACGCCCTCTATTGGCAAGGCTAAAGCGGTGAGTGATGCAAGTCTGTAAAACGTTTAACTGAATGTGTATTTAGACACAAATGCCTTAGTAAAGGCTCCATCTGCCAGTGCTCAAGCCATAAGTTCCAGTTACCAAGCTTTTGATATTGCCACATAACGTGCGGTTGATGTATGTACCTAACTGTATAAGTATTTTTTATTTCATGTGTGAGATTTCATTTTACATCAGGATAGAGCAAAGTACCAATTCTCGGTAGAAGAGGGTGATCATCTCACGCTTCTTAATGTATACGAATCATTCATCAAGGTATGGCACAACTTAGCTTAGAGTATGAGGAATATTTTAATTACCACTCTATGTTTTCATGTTATGTGTGTTCAGATAGTGTGAAGTGTCGCATTGTTGACTATGTAAGAGAGCTACAGTCTGAATACAAGTCATGAAGGCAAGGCAGGAGGAGGAGTGTCCAATTAAATGGGGTTGATTGTCATGGCACTGAACTGAGAATTAAATAGTTAATGCATATAATAGATTTACACAGACTGAGACCTTTCCATTTACGTCGCCAAACCCGCTCACTCAAATCCGTTTTCAAAGTTGGTGGGCTTAGCATAAACTTAGAGTTTATGATGATCTCTTGCGGTCGAGATGCTCCATTACAGCGTAATATTTCTAACCTATAAACTGGTTGTGAAATTTTCAACTATTGGTTTAATTAAGTTCATTTTCCATACTCGCTGTGTAGAAAAAGAAGAGTGCACGGTGGTGCCACGAAAACTACCTCAACTATAAAGGCTTGATGCGAGTGGTGGACGTTCGTAACCAACTAAAAGGTCTTCTACAAAGATTCGAAATACCTTTGGTTTCAGCAGAAGGTATTGAGTTCTGCGGTGTCCCTATGATCATAATTATCTGATCACTAATCACTCTATTGGTAGATATGGTGAGAGATGTGTGGTAGGTTGTTAAAGGCAATCACAATGTTAGCATGTTTCTTTCATCCTGATCCCAGTCATAATTGCATTGATTAGTTCTGACACCTTAACAATCCAAAATTAATTGCGGGGGATCAATAAACATCGTTTCGTTGTTCAGAGCGAATGTTTCGTACCTCACATATCTTCTCTGCAACCTTGTGTTCTGTATAGTTAACTAGGTGAGCACCCCAGCTCAGTAAACTCGTAGACAACTAACCAAAGTTGTGATTGTAACGAGAGTCACGCATCTGCCTACTCAAACCCAACACTGGCTGCGAGAGTATTAAACTGCTGTTGAAACTCGCAGGAGATGCGGACAGGATATGCCGATGCATCGCAGCAGGATTCTTTGCTAACGCTGCACGACTGCACTACACGGGAGAATACCGAACAGTGAAGGATGACCTCCCCATACACGTGCACCCGAGCTCAGTGCTGTACGCGCTGAAGCCTGCTCAGTGGTACGACAATCATAGTCCACACGTTGCATGGCGGCTCGATCTAATTCTACGTACTCTACTGTACGAAAATGCTGATGAACCTTTTTAGGAAATTGTGACTGTTCTTTCTTCTTCTTCTTATCCTCTTGGTCCCCCGATGGGACACAAGGCCATCACTATGTAGCTTGTGACTGTTTGGTTGGCAGAAATTTGCAGCATTTTGAGGTTCGATTGAAGAATAATTGCTGTTGTTATTTATGCGAGCGACCTCACGTCACTAGCAACTGTGTCACTGTAGTTTACTGACTATTTCATGTTGCTGTGAACCTACCTGTTTAATTCTTTATTATCCTTGTTTACCGGTTTCACCCTCGTTCTCCCCATGACTGATATTATGTATTATACCATTATAACCTATATATATATATATTACCTATGATTACATGCATATGATTTGTCCTGTTTGCAGGGTGATGTTCAACGAGGTGCTACTGACATCTCGTGCATACATGAGGAATGTGACGGCAATCGACCCGCGGTGGCTGTATGAGCTCGCACCTCACTACTATCAATACGGCACAGTACGTACAATCCTTCCAGTCTCCCTTCAGGCACAAGCTGCTGTTCTAGTGTAACTGAGTAAACCTTTGTCTGGACCAAGCCTACTGAATACTGACTCTTCAATGACAGAAACATTTTCGTTTGTAGGAGAGAGAGATAGCTGCAAAGAGAATGAAGACCGGGACGTGATGTTCTTGGGTGCGTGACATGAGACGTTGGTTGCTGTCAACACTATATGTCGGTCATTCAAAACACATTGTTGGCCACTGTCAACAACAAAGACTGTTGGTTGCTGGCAACACATTTGCTGCAGACTACTGACAATTACTACTTATTGAGAGGAGACAGCTATTATTGCACTTCTGATTCTTTTTGTGATTCAACACAGATGTTTGCGCTTCTCCACGAGATGAGAGTAAGTTGTCGTGGCATGACGCTAATATCGGTAATGAAGCAGACAGTGTTACCAAAAGTGGAACACGAGTCAAAATATTATGATATACAATTATTTATTTTATAAAATAAAGTGTAGCTGAGCAGTTTCACATATACTCGTCTTAACAGGCTTTTGTGTAGCGCTAAGAGACAAAGGAAATAGGATATAACACATGGTAATATCACAGACTGAGAGCATACAGCACTACATATTTAATCCAGTTTAATGTACTTAAATAGTATATTCGGATTTGGCAGCAGTCACTAACCAGTTTACATTATACAGACTTTGGCAAATCATAAATAATTAATAAAAAATCTATACCAATCACAGGGCATACGTTAAATGTCGCTAAATAACAGAGGAAACTAATTGTTAAATCACCAATTGTTTTTCTTGGAAATTTATACATTGATAAACGAAATAGGTGTAGAAAAAATTTTCCTAACTACTGGACCTATTGAATTGTAGTCTAAAATATATCTAAAGCCTATCCATAATAAATTTGATATGCAACGATGTACATTGGTAATGTTAATGTTACACATATGGACAGCATTACTAGGGTACTATTAATCCATTTTCGCAAAGCACCTGCAGTGTGTTGATTTAGTTGTGATATTGATGTGCATAGAGCAATCAAGATGATTAAAATGAACACCGTACTTTTACTGTGACATGCGATCCCGTTCACCGAGATAATATTATACTAGCAGATGCAGTAATGATGAATGAATAAATGGTCCTGAATTATTTAGGCGAGTGTAAAACACTGAAGCCATTATGTCAACATCAAGTATGCGCCAAGCTGTAATAGGAGTTTCTTTGCTGTTAAGCTGCTTTTAAGACTTAATTATACATGATATACGTATATGCATGACCATGGTACAGTATGTTTAGAGGTGTGAATATATTGAACACTTCCACAATGCACATTTGTGATTCTAATGAAAAAATGAAGCTTCAACAATATATTTCCACATTACATAAGCTTTTTAACTAATGATCTTAAAACTGGTTCGATAATAACAATGTTCTTGCTGCTTATAATTTCTAAACAGTTGTTCAACACCGCGTAAATGTAAGCTCGCCATTTCGTTACACATTAAGACGATCGAATAAAACACCAGAATTATTTCTCACACAAGGGAGATTGGATTGTCTAGAAGTCTATTGACTCGCAAATTTTTTTTGGAACCACAGCGAAATCACTTCAAATCACGCATAGTCTCAGACCGGCCAAAGCGCAGAGACCGTTTCCATCCAAAACAGAGCTGATACGTTAACTTTATAAGCATGGTTAAACAATGTGAATCTGCGCCTAGCAGAGCTCCAGTGATTCCGAATGGCTTTTCAACTCAGCGATCCATCAGTATGTACAACGAAACCACCACCAGATGGCATTCTCAGTCCCTGAGTTCAGCCAGTCGTCTGCTCAGCTGGTCATCCTCAGCCTGCGAGCGCTCGGCAGCGCGCTCTGCTGGCAGCGAGGTTCCCGGCGTCACGTCCTGCAGCTGGTTCATCACCTCGAGGCCATTCTCATCGGCCACCTGCTGAATGAGGGCGCTAACCTGGTCCATCGGCGTCGACAGCGTGGTCGCCGTGCTCATCGAGTCCTCCATGACCTGCGCACGCACACAACTCCTAGTTAGTCGCGTGCGACGTAACGACTTCTGAGTAAAGTTATCTTTAATCGGGCCAAATATTATATCATTATACATAACCAGGCCAACACTACATCAGGTTATTTCATGACCTGCACACAAACAACTCCAAGTTAGTCGCGTGTGACTAAACGACTTCTTAGTAAAATTACCCTTAATCAGGCCAAATATTATATCATTATATATAACCAGGCCAACATTACATCAGGTTATTTCATGTCCTGCACAGAGACAACTCCAAGTACGTCTGCCTGATTATGCTTTAATCAAGTCGTCGCGTTTATGTAATAATCACTTCGTCCTTCATTGTATGTGCAGCCTTTCAATATCAATAATCTTCCCTTCCTCCTTATTTTATCTGTAGTAAATTATCTTACCAGTTCAATCCTTAATCAGGCTAAATATTATATAAATTACTCTTAGGCCTTTTGTAGTATCAACAGTCCACTCACTTTAGCAGCAGTCACAATTATTTCCTTGCCTTTGAAGCTATTAACTTGGGCCAAACATTATATGAGATACCCTCAGCACACTCTTTTAGTATGTCCTTTACACATCTCAATTTTTACTGTAATATTAATATAATTTTCACTCATTTGCATAGTCATGTGACATGTAACAGGTTCAGGTACATACACTAGTTCTGACATCCAAGTCTTCAAAGGTGCCTTCAAATTTCTCCATCACTTTGGAGACTTTTTCCAAGTCCATCGACTTCATGGCCTTATCCAGTGCTTTCGTGACTCCTTCCATATTTTTAGCCACCTGCAATGTACAGAGATTTCCACTTACTTGTGTGTTCTTACAACAAAGTCTGCACATTGTCTTCTGGTGTGGGTGTGTGTGTGATGCACCACCATTAAATTATAAACCCTGAATAAACCCATACTCCCCCTAAGTGTCAGCCAGTGCTGTAGAGCAACTAATGAAGTGTTATGCATTCTACCATATATCTAAAAAGTCCTGTAAAAAATTATCCTCGTAATTTCCATAATCGTGGAATCGATTTTCGATCGCATAAACTGAATGCAATGTTCACAGTTAGAGTGTTTTCTGTTACCTGCTTCATGGTAGCTGCAGACTGCACCTTTGACGACACGCCATCTACCCTAGCTGCCATGCGCAGGTAATTGAGGCTCTCATTCTTTTTCCTAATGGCATTCTCAGCATAGATCTTAGCACCTTCAACATTTCCCTGCTGCAGAGACTGTGGAAGACATTGCAAAGCCTACGTGTAGTTATGTTGCATACGGTTACTATATCACATAGCGATTCAAGAAATTTCTTATATACCTGTTAATACTGAAGGATGATTCTCCTAATCATGGGTAAAATTTATTATAATCATTTAAAGGAAGTATAACATATGAGTATCATTAGTAGAATATCTTATGGACAGTTATAGTGTGATAAAACTATGTAGTAAACAATTTCAAATAGCATTTTAGATTTAAATGGATTCCTGATAGATTCCATTTAAGTAAAATACATAATTGTAGTGCTGCCATTATACTCTAGTGAAATAGTTTTCTAGTACAAATACCTTCTTGATCTTGTTAGTCTGAGCTTTCTGGTCCTTTTCCGCTTTTCGTGATAATCGCTCCAGTTGCTTCACTGTAAACTGAATTTATGACACACCCATTTTTGTGATTTAATTGTGATTTAATTGTGAAACGATTAGAGAGCCAACATACTTCTGCATTTGAAATTTGAAGAACGAACTTCCAAAATATTTAAGGGATATCCATAACTATCACATCAACGTTACCATGAACATATGCATAGACTCTATGTAATGAATTATAATAATTGAGAAAAAGGATATAGTTAGACAGGAGTAACTTATACTTAATAAACTTAATGAACAAGTAATTTTTTGGAATTTTATTAACAATATATACGTGTCATTACCCGAAGCTGGAATATTGTATCTGAAATGGAAAAAAACACTGTGCTTGACTGCTGTAAAATATAGTACTGCTTGTAAAACAGTGTAACAACCTGCAAAGAAATTAATTGAAATATGCGGGTATAATTATAGATACATGAAGGTAGAGGAGTCAAGCTAACTTCTTGGCTTACCATGAAGCAGACATCTCACGATATAGAAGACATTTTGATGGTTCTATATCATATGACAAAAAAACTTTAAAGATAGAGAAAATGTACAGATACTAATATAGCAGTATATATATATATATATATATATCAAAAGAAATATTGGTCAATGAACTTATATCACCACTTATAATATATTATCACCATTAACTTAGAATAACCCTACTACATAATAGCACACCAGTATAGATATTTGTGTTTTATGAAATCACTTGCTGGTACTTTACCGCTACTGGATTAAGAGACCTCACACACTACTACTATGAGAAATGTGGCAGGTGGTAGGATAAACGGCACTGCTTGGACGCAAATCTAACATGTCTTAGGATCAAGAATAGCAGGTAATGGACCAAGTCATCCAACTAAATCATCAAATTGTCCGAATAATAGGCCCAGCTATAGATAAAATAATAATATATACATAATTTGTCAGGCGCGCCCAAAAATCGTGATGAGTGTGTACTCATCTAGATACTTAGCTATAGATAGTCTAACCTATATAGCAGGAAAGATGTCAACCAGATTGACTTCTTCCTCGGCCTTGGGAATTTTAAACTTTTTGGATGCCAGATAGAGTGCGGGATGGGTAGGTACTTGTCATACATGATATTATTGAATATGCAGACACAGAATCGCCAATGTGTATTCATTGTGACGGACTGATTTCATACCAAAGCAGTCCTCGCCAAAAGACAAAATCCTTTACTGGACATTCGGTCCAGTAAAAAATAGATTTTTACCAGACCGAATGATATGTTACTGGACCAAAAAAATATTGAAACATTAAAACACATTCACATCTCTGTTGCTTTTCCTCTGTGGACATATCTAACATATAATTGATATATATGCTTTCCTGCTCATCACCAGCTATGTCTGTTGACCCGTCCATGATAAAGCTGAAAAATCTAGCATCGTTTATTTTTTCATCCATTTCGTGACGCATACAATCAGCAATGCATTGCTTGCCAGCTTTGTCATTAATGTAGGTTGCACCTATTTCTAGGCCTTTGGCCTTGTCCAGTTGTGTGATCCAGGTATAATCAGTGATAGTAATATAAACTTCCCATGATAGTTCACACACACACGTCGCATGTCATCATTTTCTTATCTTTTATCATATAACAGCTAATCTCTTCCTATCGCTTTCCCACACCATAGATTAATTTGGTACACGCATATATAAGACAGCAATAGGCAGGGATATTAGGGTTAGGCATAGTTTGTGGTACTGACGTACCCGTAGCCTCTGCGTAATTAGTTGATGTAATGTTACCTGACAAACGGTCTGGTAAAGCCAAATTTCTTGTCGGACCCGTGCAAAAATCACCGGTTTTGTCCGACGGTCCGACGCTTTTGGCGAGGACTGCCAAAGGATAGTTGATTGACAGGTTTATTGGTTTTCCCAATCAGGGTATATATTCCCAGCAAGACCATGGCCCATCAGACCGGTTCCTCTGTCAGCCATATAGGAATCGCCACCTCTCCATGGCACTTATCCATGCAGGCACCAAGTTTGATGCTACATGACTCTGGTGAATTTGTATCTGTCTAGGGATTGTTTGATAATAATTTCATTGAACTTCATTAGTACATCTACTAAGTAAGTGTTTCACTAGCTCTCTGCTCAACCCATGTAGCCATTCCCTCTGCCACTGGGCAATACAGAAAAGTATGAAGGAACCTAGTGGAGAATATTTTTTGTAAGTTGTCATTGTTGAGCTACACTGTAGCACGTAGCTGTGGTATAATAAAAATTAACCTAACTGGCAAAATAAAAATCTTGGCTTTAGCCTTTAGGTAACTCAAACTGGCCTCACTATGAGGTGGGGGAGGGGGCGGGTGGA